CTAATCTATCTAATCTATCTAATCTATCTAATCTATCTAATCTGTCTAATCTGTCTAATCTGTCTAATCTGTCTAATCTGTCTAATCTGTCTAATCTATCTAATCTATCTAATCTATCTAATCTATCTAATCTATCTAATCTATCTAATCAACCCCTTGCGTCTGCCACACGAAACGACATCTGAACGTCCAAAAGTGATTCGTGCCCGTCAGTTTTTTGTACTTTCGACTTTTGACTTCCAAATGTGCTTCGCACCACGACAGCGTGCACTTTTTCGACGTCGCAACTTCCAAAAGTGGTCCGAACCTGGTGTGCTTTGCGCATTTTGACTTGGGAATGTGCTTCGCGCCACAACAGCGTGCACTTTTTCGACATCTCAACTTCCAAAAGTCGTCCGAACATGAGGTGCTTTGTGCATTTTGACTTCCAAATGTGCTTCGCGCTACAACGGCGTGCAATTTTTCATCTCTCATCTGGCCAGATGGCTCCGCACCCCCGGCTTAAGCGAGCCTTCTATCTAATCTATCTAATCAATCTAATCTATCTATCTATCTATCCATCCATCCATCCATCCATCTATCTATCTATCTATCTTTCTTATCTATCTATCTATCTCTCTCTCTCTCTCTATCTATTGGTCTCTCTGTGCACAGGCAAGCTTCACAACGAAGCTATTTTGCAAGGCTTCCTCCATTTCGATGGTGACAACATGAAAAGCCAAGCATTTCTGCAAGGCTTCCTCCATGTTCGACGGGGACAACATGAAAACGAAGCAATTCTGCAAGGCTTCCTCCATTTTCGAAGGTGACAGTATCAAAAACGCAGCAATTCTGCGAGACTTCCTCAGCCTCAATGTTTGAACTTGACAACGTCAAAAACGAAAGAATTCTGCGAGGCTTCCTTCAAGAATGGCAAGTTGAATGCAGAGCTGACGGCCTCGTGCCAATGCGTTTTGCGATTTTTCCACTCCATCTGTCTAAAGTACTGCGCCTGCCACGAAAAAGTGATGCCAAATCATGACCCATGCCTTAAGAAATTATTCCAGGGTATCAACTAGGTTATGGAATAATTTCTTTTGGAATAATTTTCAAGGAATAATTTTTGAGGGGGGTAGGTATACGATTATGCATGTTGGAATTTGAAAATCATGATCCAGCCCGTCAAGATACCCCGGAATAATTAGGTTTTGGAATAATTTTTGGTAACTTAAAACATCTCAAAACATCTTGAAGCAGCCTATACTTCCTACATTTGGCCTGGCCTTTCCAAAGCCATTCCTAGCTCGGCGGTGTTTGCCTGAAAACTTTTTGCTGGAAATGCCAATTGCAGTTATTTAAGGCATCATGCAGTTTGGGCAATTGCTGCCAACCTTTTTTTGTAGCGTACTTGCACGCACAACTAGTGTCCACCGGACCACCTTTCTCTCACGGTACTTTCTCTCGAGAGCTCTTTGAGTGGCAATGAATGGGGAATGTTAGGAAAATACCTAGGAAAAGGCCAGGTTGAGTGCCATTGTGTGGGCTTTCCCCAGGGGGGAAATTATTCTAGGGGTATTGGAGATGCCTGGTACCCCTCAAAAACGAAAGCGGACAGCTAATCACCAAATTAGCCCAGAAATTGGCAAGAATTGTCAAAAAACAAATGAAACCCACACATTTCCCACCCATTCCCACTATGGCCAACGGGAGTTTTTTGGAAGGAAATGAAAGGAATATGGAAGAAATAGGGGGGCGGACGCAAAGTTGGGAAAACTTCTAGAAGAGAGCCAAGGTTTTTTTTTTTCGGGGCTTCCCGAGGGGAGAAATTATTCTGGAGGTATTGGAGATGCCTGGCACCCCTGAAAAACAAAAGGGGGCAGCTGCTACAATCACAAAACAAATCCAGAAATTGGCAAAAAAAATTAACAAGTGACAACCAAATATTTTGCTTTTCCCACTCATTCCCACTAAGGCCAGAACCACCAAACTAGCCCAGAAACTGAAAAAAACAAAAACAACTAAAACCATGTTCAGCCAGTGGGTTGCCGAGAGGAAATTTGTTTAAAGATACTGTTCTGACTCTTCTTGATCCTATCTGATTATGTTGAAAATTGTTTAAATTTGTGCCCCAGCTCTGCAAGAAGGGAAACCGTTTTCGGCCGTTTGCGCGCAGCTGCTTACGATCACTTGCGTTTGGCTAGAAATAGACTATACCGGTATCATTTTGATGGAAATTATTCCATTTTTCCATATGAACTCATGAGTTCTTAGAATATTTTTTTTTGAACTCAACGGGTGCCGGAATAATATTATGATTATTCTGAGGTATGTTGACGGGGGTATCCCCTTAAGGCATCCCTCATGCCAAATCATACAAAGTGCTGCACCTGTCACGCAAAATCATCTTCACAAACCTGAAGATCTGATGCTCCAAAATGCAACCCCTCTTAGGAAATCAGCGTTGTCCTCCTAACATCTCTGATGAATATGTCTCTTGTACTGCGCCTGCCACGCGAAATCCATCTTTGCAGATCCTCTTCAAGTGTCCCACGCCTGCCATCGTTTTTGGAAATCCTGCAAAACCTTCAGGTTTTTGATCACTTTTGGCAGGGTGGAGAATCCCTGGCGCTTGCCACACACAACGACGCTTCACCGTCCAAAAGCGGCGCGAACATGTGGTGCTTCGCGCATTTAAACTTCGAACTGTGCTTCCCGCCACAACGGCGTACACTTTTTCGACATCTCAACTTCCAAAAGCGCTCCAAGGCTGAGGTCTTTTGTACAATTTGACTTGGAAATGTGTTTCGCGCCACAGCGGCGTACACTTTTTCGACATCTCAACTTCCAAAAAGTGTTCTGAACGTGATGTGTTTTGTCATTTTGACTACTTCGACATGTGCTTCGCGCCACAATGGCGTGCACTTTTTGAACATCGCAACTTCGAAAAGTGGTCCGAACATGGTGTGGTTTTTACATTTTGACTTCCAAATGTGCTTCGCACCACAACGGCGTGCACTTTTTGAACATCGCAACTTCGAAAAGTGGTCCGAACATGGTGTGGTTTTTACATTTTGACTTCCAAATGTGCTTCGCACCACAACGGCGTGCACTTTTTCGACAGCTCAACTTCCAAAAGTGCTCCGAACGTGAGGTGTTTTTACGTTCACTTCCAAAGGTGCTTCGCGCCGCAAGGGCGTGCAACTTTTCATCTCTGGCCAGATGGCTCCGCACCCGCCGCTTTAGCGAGCCTACTTTTTGATCCCCCGGAGCCACAAATCATTGGAGGCAGTGTTTCGCGACAGTGTTTCGCGACTTTCATACCTTTTCGCGCACCTACATCTTCTTTCTTCTCACTCTTTCTCTTTTCTGATCTTCTCTCTTCTGCTCTTGTCCTCTCTGACTCTTCCCACCTCTGCTTTTCCATCCGTTCATATTGTCGGAAGTTTGGCTTCTAAACTTCCTTCGGTAGTTCATATGCACACATAGTATCCCTAAATCAACCCTGATCCAATCGCAAATAAACCCGAAACCAACCCCAAATAGAACCTAGACCACCCCTAAAATGAGCCCTAAACCAATCTAAAAACACCTTTAAACCAAACCATCCAAACCCTAAATATATCCCCAAATTCCCAAACCAACACTATGATGACCTCCAATGACACTGTTTGCATCCCGCACGGTTGAACCCTCAAGAAAATCCTAAAAACTGCCAATATGCTGCTGCTATTGTGCTAAGTAGAAAACAACTAAACAACAATGAGAACAGGTTTCATTTTTCAACATGTAGCAAATACCATGCAAATTGCAGATTGTTGCGCCAAAATGCTACAAATACCATGCAAATTATGAATTCTAAATTACGGTAAACATAATGCACATGGTATTGTTCAAATGCTGGCTCCAAGATGCTGCGAATTTTCTGCCAACATGAGATCCAAGGTCCAAATATTCCAAAATGTTACAAATACCGTCAACATTACGCATTTTAGCTCCAAAATGCTGCAAATAGCAAGGACAGGTGCCCCAGACTGAAAAAACAAACAAAACAAAAAAACACATTTAAATTAATTACCCACAAACATCTGCACCCTAGAAAGTTTCTTGTGTTCGATCGGCGGTTCCCAATTTCTCGATTTTCATCGATTGTTTCCCTCTGTTCACAGGAAAGATGCTTGGCCCTGACTATTTGCACTGGTATCGAGTATCGTCCGGGCCATTGTGAGCTATGGACACGCCCAGCAGGCGCGGACAGAAACATCTTGTGCCCGCCTCTGCGGGACTTCCTCATTCAGAGCCGGCTGGGAGATAATGTTTACCACACTGATCTTAACGTAGGACTTCGACAAGTAAGTTGGGAGAATATGTCATATCTCAACATCTTAGGGTACTTTATTCCTGCAGGCGCCATTCGTTATTTCCAGATATAGCGGGTCCTGCATGTTCTGGGATGAAACCATTGCTTTTCCTGCGTTATCTAATGCGTTTGTTCTCTTCTTTCCTGGGACTTCAAAGCCAGTGAAAGTCATGAGGGCCAGATGTGGGCCAAATGGTTTGTTCTCCAGGCGTTCAAGCCACGAACGCGTTGGTGAATTCCGTTTGCCTTCAACGGCCAAGCATCCTGGCAGCACGCAGTCTGAGCTGTTGATCGGGTATTTTTCCCAGGGAACGAGTAAACCGCAAACATCTTAAAAGAATTAAACAAAAGATTTTTCAACGGCAGTTCTGCTGCTTAATACATACATGATCATACATGCCATGAGCCAACGTCTTTTTGCTTGGTCAGTCATTGAAGCTCCGCACATTTGAGTAACTTGAGCATCTTTGAATATGTTTGACCCGAGGTTCTCCTCCGCCTGGCGCAATTCAAACCAAATACGTGGCTCACTACATGCCATGGTTCGTAGGATTTCAAAGTGGCGTGTATGACCATTGGTGCGTAGGCAATGCCCATTACCAGAGCTATTTGGGACAATACAACTTGAACGACCGTGCAATTGTCCAGCAGCAACTGGACCTCA